AAACACTCTATATGTTGTCCTGTCTGGATAGAACTTGGGTTTCATCCGTAATATGCTTATGAGAAAAAGATTCTTCTGAAGACTCACTAGTTAGCAATGATTTCAACTGATAAGTCATTTAAATATTTTCCAGTTTCATAGCCCTTTGGAAAAAATCCTCACTAGCTTCTTATTTGTCAGAAAATAAATTGAAGCCTATCTACTAGTTCCTTCTCTGCTGCTTATGATGAGGCTCTAGTGTCCTCCATCCTTTAAAAAAGAAAGAAAAGGTAAATCCCACCATGCCTTTAATATTACCATCTCTTCTGATTACCCAAGTTTGTAATCTCAGTATCATCCTTAACTCCCCACCGTGCATATCTATTCTGTTGCTGGTTCTTGTCACTACATCTCTCATGATATCCCTTTCTCTCCGCTCACACAGCTACCACCTTCATTCTTGCCCCATCACCTCTTGCCTGGTCTCCTACAATGGCCTCCTATTTGGTCTTCCTAACTCAATTTTCTCCCTACTACAGTACATCCTCCACTCAGTCCCCAAGGTAATTTTTCCTAAATGGAAATCTGACCATATCATACCTCCTTTCCACTTAACAAACATCAGTGGCTTCTTATGACCTCCATTATCAAATATAAACTCTCTACAGAATTTAAAGCTCTTCACAACCTGACTGAGAGTGGCGACCCTGCAGCCTCAAGGCCACATGTGGTCCTCTAGGTCCTTGGGTGTGGCCTTTTACCTGAATCCAAACTTCACAGAATAAATCCTTTTATTGAGGGAATTTGTTCTGTGAAGTTTGGATTCAGTCAGTGGGTTGCACTTGAGGACCTAGAGGGCCACATGTAGCCTCCAGGCCACAAATTCCCCACCCCTGATGTTCTGACCCCTTTCTACTTTTAGAGTCTTAGGCACACATCGCTCCTTTCTATACACTCCAGCCCAGCCATACAAACCAAAACTTGCTATTCTGTATACACTACACTCAGTCTCATCTTCATGCCTTTGTATCGGCTGCCCCTCAAGACCAGAATGCGTTCCCTCCTCACTCCTGCCTCTTGGAATTCTTTGTTTTCTTCAAGGCTCGGTTCAAGCACCACTTTCTACATGGGGCCTTTCCTTGTTGTTGTTTAGTCATTTTCAGTCATGTCTGACTCTTTGTGACCCCATTTGGGGTTTTCATGGCAAGATACTAGAATGGTTTGCCATCTCCTTCTCCAGCTCATTTTATAGATGAGGATTAAGTGACCTTCCCAGGGTCATACAGCTTGTAAGTGTCTGAGGCCAGATTTGAACTCAGGAAGATGAGTCTTCTGACTCCAGGCCCTAATTCTTTCTAATGCTAGTACCCTTCCTTACAAAAACTCTACCATCAACTCATTTAATAAATATTCTCTGTATGCTTATATATGTTATCCTGCCTGTTAGAATGTAAGCTCTTTAAGGGAAGGATTTTTTTGTCTTGGTATCCCCAATATTAGAACAGTTCTTAGCTCGTAGAATACACTTAACAATTGCTTGTTTTAGTTAATAACTTTAGGTGTAAAGTCTTTGGACATTTAGGGCAAGAAATGCCCTTATCTATTGTTATAACTGTAGCATGGATGCACGTGAGAGATGTGTTTACTAGAAAGAGAATGCATTTTTTTGGAGTGCAAGAAGCCAAAATCTGAAGAATCAGCTTGGGGAAATAGGGATAGAGGCAGGAGTAGAGCTTGTCCTAGATCCCTAAGACAGTGAAAAGAACCTCATTATCAATTTAGTCACCATGATTCAATACAGGAGTACTAGTACCAAAGTACCATCAAGAAATCAGACTATGCCACCTCCAGTCTGGCTCTTCTCTTTCACCCCATCCCACTAGAACCACCTGTACTTTGCCTCTGGGACCATGGGATCTAATAGGTGAACTTTAGTCTTCTCTTACTTGTAACTAAATGTCCATGTCACTTCCTGACCATTCAAACCACGCTGCCTCCATTCCAGCCCTCCTCCTTAACCACATACTGCTAGCATCATGTGGATTTTGCCTGCCAAGATCTTGGACTTTGATTGGTGAACTTTCGTATTATGTTGCCCAGAACCAGAACATTTCCAGATCATGCTGCCACTGACACGTCTCCACCCCTTTTTACTCTCAATTTTGTATTGTCTTCACCAGTTATAATGTAAATTCCTTGAGGTCAGGGATCTCTCACTTGTTTATGTTTGTAGCTGTAACTCTTAGCACATAGTAACAATTAATGCTTTATTATTCAACATTCATAAATGTCCATAAATATGTCATATGTACTCAAAGGAAAATCACAACTTGGTTTAAAGAAGTTGATACTCAAAGGACTTTTATGGGAAAAATGTTTTTTGTTGTTCTTATTGTTCTTTGTTCTCAAAGAGAACCAATGACATTAGGAGGGTAATGTCTTGACTTGTAAGTGAATTGGATTTACCTGAGGCACAGTCTCAAAGTGTCTTCCAGGGTCATCTGAGTCTAGTGGTAAGACATAGATCAGGATGACTGAAGACAACCCCAGATGCAATTGAAGACCTCAACCTTTTTAAGCTAAGGTCTTTCTCAGGTTAATTTTGTCCGAGGCAAGACCCATTCAGTTATTTTAGGGTAGGTAAGAAATGAAGAAAAAGATAACCTAGTTTGCCTACTCAAAAAAAAAAATCAAACTTGGAGGAGAAGAACTTCAGGGTTCTAGCCAGAAGAGAAACAATTGCTATTTACACTCACTCTGAGTCATCAAAAACCAAACAGTGACCAAGTGAGGCTTGGGCTGGAACCTATTATTGGTCAGTCAGTGAGAGCTAGAGTGATTTGGGTTTAGGACATGGTCAAGTAGCTCCAGTGATGATTTTAAGGCCCATGTTTGTTTTCAAAAGTTTAAACCAAAAGAAGAAGTTTTAAGGAAAACTTTGGTAGTCAAAGTAAAATGACAAAACTTGACAATCAAATAAACATGATCAAATGTGAGATATCCCAGTTGAAGAAGAAATGACAAAGTGATGTGAACCAAAAACCCAATGCAACAAGCTATTCACTTGAAAAAAGAAACTGCTCCCTTTAGAGCAGCGTACAAGACTATAGAAATTTAGCTAATTTCCCCATCAGCAAACAGAATAATTATTGCTTTAGATTGAGGGGAAAGCCCTTTCTAAACCTTGAAATGAAGCATTACCAGTAAAAATGATAATGATAATAATCTTTGTATTTCCTCTCCCATTCCCAGTGCCTACCTGTAAATAGTGAGCACATAATAAATGTTTGTTGGCTGGAAAAGGAAAAAAAGAATTTTTCATTAGGAATAACCTTTCTTGTGTGCCTAAGAGAAAGCATCATGTGGAAATACAGCTGGGAAAGATAAAACTACTGGCATATGAACATAATAGTACTGAGATAACAAAAGTTCTACAGAATATATATTGAATGTTCTGTACCTTTTAACCAATGGCAAATTATTTCTACTTCCCAGGCACAGATATGCAACATGATAGCATAGACGTTGGGATCCAAGAGAATGATGTGTTTCTTGAACCATTTTAAACAGAGCAAAAATTCACAAAGTTTTTGACATTTCTAACTTTGGTACAAACACTTTCTATACACAAGGACTTCTTAGTCTTTTTTTTTTATGTGAAAGTTGGAATTATGTGAGCCAGAGATGAAAGAACAGCTTTGTTTGGGTTTTTACATGAAATTACTGGTACTCTTAACTTCTGAAATTAAGTATAATTTATAAGAAGATTTCAGTCAGTTATTTTCTGTGTGTGACAATATTTTTTATTAACATTCCTGTAAGGCATCAGTTTTACTTGCTTTTTTGACATCTCAGCCTGAAGGACCTAAAAACCTGCAGCTACCTCTCTATGTAATTTTTGTCTTACACTGTCATGAGATGGAATATTCCTGATAGAATGTAATGGAATTTCAGAAATTAAAATTGACAGAGTTCTGACAGGTCTATAACCAAGAGCAGTTGTTGTTTCCAATATTCTTTAGCTTTCACCCTTCTTTGTAAGAGTAGAAAAGCAAGCATTAGGAAATTAGTGCTATTAATGATTCATGGCAATGCTATTTCCTGTAACTAAACATGATAGCCATAATCACTTTGAATATCATCTGAAGCGTGCTTGTAATATGTAGAGTGCATAGGAAAAACAGAAGGTGGAAGCCTGCTACTGAATGTCATGATTCTGGGAAGCATGGAGCTTCCTGCCTACCTAAAACTTTTGAGCTCACATTAGTCATGGGCAGATATGTAGATAGTATTCTTACCCATCTCACTTTTAATGCAATAATTTGAGAAGCTCTTTCAGTTCATGTGAACAAACAGTATATTTTATGGGTCTCTTTGCAAAGGTAACATCATTAAAGTCATTATTTTCAAATAGAGCCTTACTTCAGAAATTCATCAAGCTATTTTAGCCCATGTCTAAGCAGGTAAAGAGGAACAAAAGTTAGAGAGATGTGAATAATTACAGTCATAATATTCCTTTTCTTGATTAATGGAATTCATTCATTTATTTTATAAATGTTAAGTGTTCACTGTGTACAGATTGCCATGTTAGGCAATAGGGAGATAAAAAATTGAGATAAACAAACCCCTACCTTCAAGGAGCTTACAACTAGTATAGGTATGACTCAAACAAAGATTATAAAATGCATTAGAGAAATTTAAAGCAAAGTGCTTTAGGAGATTGGAGGGGGAGGTTTTTACCAGCTGAAGGCTTCTTGGAAGATGTGAATTAGACTTTAAAAGATGGATAGGAATTCAACAGATAAGAAGGGGAAAGGAGGCTATTTCAGTTATTGGGATGAGTACAAGTAAAGGCATGGTGCTGGGAAATGCAGGGAATGTGGCAATGTCACTTTGTCAACGTGGTTATCCCACTGAGCATGAATAGAGAGCAAAACCAACTACATCCAGTTAAACTGCCCTAAACAAGAGCTGAAGAAGGTATGATAAGAAGAGGCAGAATTAGTATTTGAATTACCTACCCTAATCAGTAGCTGAGTCAGGAATCCAGAAACTGTGAATCAAGTGGTAGATAACAGTTTAGCATCAATTCATATCCTTATCTCTGAGGCTCCTTTAACCTGGCTGTTGGTTCTTGAGATGTGATATCTTTGCAACAAGCATGCACACTATTGGAAGAGATGAAGTCTATCCATCTTGACATTCTTGATATAAATAAAATCAGAAGATGGAAATTGTGGTTAAGTATAAGAACCATTCAAAAATATTCCTTTGAGAAGAAAAGAAAGAAGTTGACTGAATAGATTTAATCCAAGAGTGTGCTGGGGGAATGTTTAACAACCAGCTGCCTGAGAGGAAAATGTGTACATCACACACTTTTAAGTTTAATCTGCATTATTAACGCTTTCTCTATTGGTTTCCTAAGTCTAGAATGCTGGGGGAATGTTTAACAACCAGCTGCCTGAGAGGAAATGTGTACATCACACACTTTTAAGTTTAATCTGCATTATTAGCGCTTTCTCTATTGGTTTCCTAAGTCTAGAATGTCAGGGGTGGGGAACCTTTGACCTCGAAGCCATATGTGGCCTTCTAGGTCCTTGGGTGAGGTCTTTTGACTGAGTCCAAATCCTTCTATTAAGGGCATTTGTTCTCTGACGTTTGGATTCCATCAAAGGGCCACACTTGAGGACGTAGAGGGCCCCATGTGGCCTCGAGGCCACAGGTTCCTGGCCCTTGTCTAGACTACCAACAAAGCAAAAAAATCAAGCCCTGATTTGTAGTGTTTGCCAATTTCTGAGTTGTAAATGCTCACACTGAAATTTTGGTTTGACAACAGGAAACATTATTTTATGGGAGTTACAAATCCATAAACAAAACAAAGAGACCAAAGAGCCATCCATGTAAGTACCTGATTCATCAAACACCAGGTTTATTTACCAGAGACACTGTGTTAGATTAGAAACTTGTGGGAAGAATTACGATGAAGGATTATAAGCAGTATCACCCACTAGAGCAAAGAGAAGCAGGAAAAAACAGAGTAGTGGAAGTGAGGGCAAGAGATACATTTAAGCAAAATCACATTGAGGGCATTCAAAGTTGAAAATGGAAAGGAAAACAAAGAAGAAAAATAGAAAAGGTCTGCAAAGATTTTATACCAACCACTTTCATGCTCAAGAACAAAATCACTAAGTACAAAATGTATTCATACATGTAGCAGAAGCGGCACTGAAGAAAACAAAGAAAGCAAAAGCATACAGATTGGGCCAAGTGGATATTGAGAAGATGCTTCCTAGAGGTGACACAATTGTGGGCATGTTAATAGGCCAAGTAACAAAGTATCTGAAGGGAGAGTAAGATACCAAAGGTGTGGAAAAATCTCAAACCTTATCAATACCAAAAAAAAGATGACCAAGAGAGTATCAACAACTACTGACCTCTATTACTACTGTGACATCTCTACAAAATCTTTCTAAGACTTTCCTCTACATGCCTTAAGGTTTTCCTCAATGAGAGTATTAGTAGGGAACAGGGAGGCTTTCACAAGTGATATCCTACAAGGGAGCACATCTTTACTAACATACAATTGACCTAAAACATTGTAGATTCTCCTGGAAGAGATTTGTAAGCGCACAAAAGACTTTGACCAGCTATAAGGAAAGACCAAATCAGTAAAAAAAATAAATAAATAAAAATAAAATTTAAGGGGGGGGCACAGGGTCTGTTGCCCAGATTCTGACATTTAGAACGTCATCAGTGTGGACAAATGCATCTAGGACAGACAATATAAATAGAAAAATTGGGCCCAGAATTATATATGAAGAAGAAATTGGACTGGATTAAATGAATGAATGTAGGAAACATTTATGAAGCACTTAACTATGTGCAAAGCACTATGCTAAGCATTAGGTATACAAATAGAAAAGTAAAACATTCCTGCTCTCAAGCAGCTTGTAGTCTAATGAGTGAGAAAATAGATATGGGACATTTCTTCTGCAAATCAGATAAAAAAGGTCCCTTGGTCCTTTGGATACAGCAGCACAGCTGTTGGTAATGCCTCTTTTTTATGTCATTTCCATTGATAAAATCATAGCCATTTCTGATGGTAAACCATTTTGCCAAGGACTTTGGTGGCAAGAACTTTCTCTTCTGGATCTTCAATTGACATGGCTATAGTACCTGCCCAAGCAGTTTCCAGGCTGCTTCACAGGGGTAGCTTCCCAAGATGTTCTTCCCAAGACTTAGTTGAGCTGTCTCAATTAGAATCTGAGGGAAGATGGTGAACAAGGTGGTGGTGGTGGTAGTTTGATTTGCCCTCCCTATCATGATGACTACTGGGGCTGGGCTGGAAATATTTCTGATGGGTTGAGGGAACACTGCTATTCTTAAAGGGGTTGGGTTCAGAGTCCTGGAATATCTCCAGGATTGCCTTCAGAAAATTACAAAGTTCTTTTTGTTGGGTTGTTCAGTCATGACCAATTCTTTGTAACCCCATTTGGGGTTTTCTTGGGAAAGATATTGAAGTGGTTTGCCATTTCTTTCTACAGTTCATTTTACAGATGAGGAAACTGAGGCAAACAAGGTTAAGTGACTTGCCCCGGGTCACTGATAGAGATGTCTGAGGCTGGATGTGAATTAAGGTCTTCCTGGCTTCAAGCCTGGCACTCTATCCACTACACCACTAGGTGCCCCACAGAGTTCTTTTAATAACTTCAGTATTCTCCTGGAAATAAAGGACTGTATTTTTATATAATAGCCTGCTGATATTATTGTATGGCTGCAAGCCATACAATAAACTCTAAAAAAAATGGAAAATTATTAACATAATGTGAACACTGGGGAGGTATATAATGGGTGTGAGTGAGCGGGCTATAGTTTGCAAACAATAAATAAATTAGGAGATCAGGAATAAAATGTGTGATTGAAAAAGCTGTGCTGAAATCAAAGAATGACAAGTGGCCAATCCAACCGCTATGCAGTTACCCTTGTGCTGGCAGAAGAATGTAAAGATGGTGGTGGGTGTTCCCATAGCAGACTTATGGGGAAACATAGTCAAGTGTCCTTTGGGTTGTGCTGGACTGGATAGGATGTGATTTTCATTACTAGAAGAAACATCCAGATCAAAAAGATCACATAACCATTTGTGCTGATTGTAGCAAAATTTATCTGTGTTTTGTTTTAGCCCAGTGGTTCTCAAAGTGAGTTCCAAGGACCCCTAGGGGTTTCTGAAATCTTTTCAGGGGGTCAAGGAGGTCAAAACTGTGTTCATATTAGTACTAAGATGTTTAATTTTTAATATGGTAAATATTTGATAGATATAACTAATGATAAATTGGAGCCAGCTCCTACTGGCTCATGAGAGCCTATTATTAAATCTTCAGGAATTCTCCAAAATGGTTGTTAAACATAGCTAGTGTGAAGTTCAGTCAGCTCCTACACCAGTAATGTTATTTGTTGCTTTAAAAGAATTATAAAGAATAACAAAATTATGAAGATCAAGTATGACATAAATGAAGAGATACGAGAAGATATCCCCAACCTCATCCCTTTGAAGAGGTGGGATGTCCACAGGTGTTACATGTTGCACATGTTTTCTGACTTTTTCAACGAATTGGTCAATTCTGATAATTTTTTTTCCTTTTTTTGTCTTTAAAAAATACTATTTGTTATATGGGATGGCTATCTGGGAGGGATGGGGGAAGGATAACTATGATGATAACTGTGATGATATGAAAAGCAGAAGACATCAATCAAAATTTAGTTAAAAAGAAAAAAAATTGAACATGTTAAATAAAGAGAAACATGGAAAAACTGATGAACTAATGCAAAGTGAAGAAAGCAGAGCCAGGAAAACAATGTACATAATGCCTGCAACAATGTAAGAGGAAAGAAAAACAATCATAAAACCAGTTGAAAATTAGTGTCGCAAAAATAAAGAGCAAGCTTGCCCCCCCCCAAGATATATGAGAAAACACCTTCCCACCCCTTTTCAGAGGTGGGAGTTTTATGGGTGTGGACAATTGCAAATAAAGTTCAATTTCTTCTATGAGTTGATTGATTGGTTTTGCAGGATTTTTTTTTCCATTTTAATTCTTTATTATAAGGGATGACTCCCTGGGAGAAGCAATACAGGAGGAAATCTTGATGATGTTAAAAACAAAAGGTAGCAGTTAAAAAAATCTGGTTTTCAAAGTAAAAAGAATTGGTGTCAAGCATAGGAAAATATATTTTCAATACATTATTGTCTATTTTCAATGATGATGTTTTTAATAATAAAGATTTAAACACTGATTTAATGGCATTTTTGTTCTGGTGGTGTTAATAAAACTGGTAATAAAGTCTAGAGTAGCTATGAAGGTGTAAAAATGTTCCTAAAATCATCATTTGGCATTGTTTAAATCATTGATTAAAATTATCACTTGACAATTTAACATCTGAAATATCTGAAATAAAAAGTTAATATTTAAAATATTCCTAGATAAAATATATTCTTATCACCAATTAAATAAAAATCAAGCTAGAGACTGTGGCTAAAGAATTTGAAATTGAAATTATTAAAATTGGTGAAGTACTGAAACCAAAACAAACAGCATATAGTTTATGTACTGTTATTCCTATATGGCACACATATTCTATGTCATACATGCATTTTTCTCCATTCTTCTTATTCTGGTTTGGCAAGGAGACTAGCTAACATTAATTTCTTGCAAGACCTTGTTTTAATGATTTATATTCTTGAAGAACTTTCATTACTTTATTACAATCAAGTTTAATTAACATTCAGAAAACACAAAAATTAATCAACACATGATTGTCTATTTTCAGGGATTATGTAAGATCTTTGGAAAATTTAAAGATTCATACTGGAAGCAGGAATCTCCTGTTGAAAATTTGATTAAGGCTAAGAAGTTAAAAGATATTTCATTTAATAAAAATAATAAATGTAATGCTTTTCCTAGGAATATGTTACTAGAAAATATAATTAAACACATGAACTTGGGTCTTTTATTAGACAGAAAAAATTAATTATTTTTATTTATAGAACCATCTACTTGGCCTTAGGAAGAACTAACTTCATCATGGTTAGCTGGTTTTAAAAAATAGCATCATTTAAGTGAAATTTTAAAACGTGAAATTGATTTGAATGATTTTGGAGATTTTTCTTTTTAGATAATGATATAGTATCAAACAGTGTTCCAATCCTTGCCGCTATTCAAGAAGTTAAAAAGATAATTATCCCTATTGTAGTCAGGAGTGCTGAAGCTGAAAGAGGTTTCAGTTTAATAAATGTAATTTGTATGAGGGTGAGAAATAGTTGAATTGTAGATCACAGAACAAATTTAATAGCAATAAATTCATTGAGAAAAGAGTTAATGGATTAAAGTGAAATTTCACTTGTTAAATCATGGTTATATTGTAGCCATAGATTGATTATAGATACAAGAGTTTGTCAGAAAAAAACAGAAGCAGGAATTTACAATAAGAAGTATTATATCTTTTATTGTAAATTGTGTGCTATACATCCTTTATATCAGTAAAATTTATAATACACTTATCTAAGTGTATATAGAGTCAGTTGATGTAACATATATAAACAAAAATTCTTTGAGGGACCTTCAATAATTTTTAAGCTTCTGTGGAGGTCCTGAGACCAAAAAAATTTGAGAATTGATACATTAGCCCAATATTAAATTAATTTTAATTCCTTAATGTACCTACAGTAGATGAAAAGGAGAGATAACCCAGTAGTCCTACCATCCTCTTCCCTGGTCACATGACATCTAGGATATTGTATTCCATTCTTAGTTCCACATTACACAAAGAATATTAATAAGCTGGAGAATGTCCAGACAAAGGCGACAAGGATGATGCAGGACTTTGATATCATGCCATATGGGAATAAATTAAAGGAGCCAGAGATGTTTATACATGATGAGTATTTTCAAGTATTTGAAGGGCTGTCATGGAGGGAAAGGATTAGACTTGTTTTGCATGCCCCCTGAAGGCATAGCTAAGAGCAATGAGTCAAAGTTGCTTGATGTACAGAAAAACTTTTCAACAATTGGAGCTGTCCCAAAGTGAGATAGACAGATGTCTTCCAAAAACAAAGGCTAGATGACAACCTGGGTATATTGAAAAGGGAATTGTTTTCAGGTACAAATTGGACTGAATCACTTTGCGGTCTCTTCCAATTCAGATTCTGAGATTCTAAGTACATTAATACTGCTAAAAAGAAAATTTGGTATTAATAGACTGCCATGGGAAATTCTCAAATAAATAATCAAGAACTGGCCATACTCAAGTTTTCAGTATCTTTATTTTATCCAGATTTAATGATATAATACATATCTACCCTATTATTAGAATGATATAGGAAATATAACTTTTTAAAAGGTTTTTTATGAAAATGTTTTGTTTAAAATCCTATTAATATTTATTGTAATGTCATTTCAGCCACTAAAATGGACTTTACATGCTAAAAAAGACTTTTCTTTTTTTTTCTTCTTTTAATCCACAGGAAGACCTGGCTAAGCAAAGTTGGGAGCCCCAGTTCTCGTATTGATCGGGCTGACTTTTCCAATGAAAAGACCATCTCTGAACTTGAGTACACTAATTTTAGCGTTAAATACTAGTGGAGAAAGAAGTTCTTAGAATAAAATTATAATGCTTATGTGCCATAATAGCTTCCATACTGTATTAAATCCATAAAAGGGAATAGTAGTGCTTTGTATTTCCATTTGAACAATGGAAATTTGTTCTAAAAAAATGTAAAACTGTAATGTTATTAAAAATGCCTGGCACTGAAATAATTTAACTTGAATATTTTTACAAAAATGAAAGTAGAATGTAAAATGAGAAAATATCTGTAATGTATAGTATGAGTATCTAGTTTAACTTTGGCCCGCAAGGCCTGGGAGTTGAATGAATGTGACAATATGAATATTGTTTCACTATTCATCACATAATAAAGTTAACTATTTAAAAATGAAACTTGTATATGCTGTTGATCCTTTTGCATTCTAAAATCTTCAATAATAATCCCCTGGATGTTAGTGATATCCTAGTAGAAAATCCAAAGTTTTCAAATAAATTTATGTGAAGCTCAGTATATACTTATTTCTGGTTTTGTTCAACATCCATAACAAAATCCAGCTAAATATGAATACTGATTAAAACCATCTAGTTTTATAGCTATTTGATATTGTTTGTGGAATAAAGAGCTCTTCATAAAATTCCTGGGAGGCATTAGTCCAAGTCACAAACTCCAGACCATGTTTGTCTGGCAAAACTTCCATAGTACTAGAAAAGGAGCTGTCACTGGATCTGTCTGAAGTGAAAAGGCTAAATAAGGGTAATTTATTAGACTTTTCTGATAGAATCTAGAATACCTCCTGAAATATGCTATGTTAATTTGAAAACAAAATTGGCAACATAAACTACAGAATTCCCCGTAGATCAGTGGTACATACTCAAGTAGAAACAGAGGTCACTAAACCGTACATGAAGATCCCTGCAGGCTGTGTATTGACTTAGAAAAACTATATGTTAATATTATGTATGTTTTACTGTATTTGTTTTGTTTTGTTAAATATTTCAGGAGCAGTTTAAGCCACATGTCTGCAACCTTTGTTTGACCCTCTGCTACATATAATCCATTCCTTTAGGGCCATTTGATTTTAAATTATAATTAATCAACAAATATTTATTAAGCACCTACCCTGTGCCAGGCACTGGGGATGCAAGTAGAAAGAATGACATAATCCCTGCTTACAAGGAGTTTACAATGTAATGTAAAGTTCAGTAAAGTTTAGTCACTATAGAGTGACTAAATTAAAATATATAATAATATATATTATATATAAAATCATATATAATAAAATAAGTATGTATTAAAATATTTAATATATAACAAAATAAAATAATGAAGTAGTTAAATATAAGGTAGTTTAGGAGGGAAGGCACTTTCTTGATCAGGCTTCATGAGAAAAATGGTGCTTGAACAGCATCTTAAAGGAAGAGAGGGATTCTATGGGGTAAGGAGAGGGTACATTCCAGGCATGCCATGTGGTGAAATTAACATGTAGTACACAAAGCACGAAGACAGAAAATGGAGCGTCCCATGTGAATAGCAGAGAGAAGGTCAGTTTGGGTGGATTGCAGAGTCGAAGAAGAGTAATGTTCAGTAAGGCTAGAAAGATATGTTGGGGCCAGGTTGCATAGGGCTTTAAAAGCTAAACAGAGCAGTTTATATTTGACTGTGGAGGCAACAGGAAGCCATTGGAATTGATTGAGGACAGAATCACTTGGTCAGATTGTGTTTAAGGAAAATTACTTTGGCAGCAGCCGTATGTGGAATGGACTGAAGTGGCAAGAAATTTGAGAGGTAGGGAGATCAATCAAGAGGCTGGGATAATAATGTAGGCAAGATGTGATGAGAGCGTGAATGAAGGTGATACCTGTAGGAGCGGAGGAAATGGATCATATATTAGATATATTGTGAAGGTTTAAATGGCAAGATTTGGCATAGGTATGGATATTTGGGGTGGGGAAGAATAAGGCTGAGGTTACAATCCTGGGACATAGGAAAGATGGTGGGGCCTTCAACAGAAATTGGGGAAGTTTGAAAAAAGCGAAGACTGAAGGGGAAAGATGAGTTCAGTTTTAGACATCTTGAATTTATATCTTTGAGACATCTGGTTTCAAATGTCCAACAGTAAATTGGTGACTCCAGATTGAGGCTCAGGGGTGAGATATGTGGATGGATCTGGAGTCATCCTCATAGAGATGACAGTTAAAGAGATAGGAGCTGATGAGTTTACCAAGAGATAGAAGTAGAGGGAAAAGATAAGAAGACCTAGAATAGAACTTTGGGGAACTCTCATGGCCAAGGGGTTTGATATATATGATGAGCCAGCAAAGGAGACAGAATAGTGGTCAGAAAGATAGAAGGTGAATGAGAAAGAGAGTAGTGTTGTAAAAAAGCAGCAGTGGCGCATTTTAAGGTGAAGTCCCCTCATAATTTTCAGTAGTATAATTCCTTATTTTTTTCTAAGCACCAGGAAAACAAAGAATCATATACTGAAAAGTAGAGGATGTCAATTCAGAATACTAAGAAATTCAAAATCTTGCAATTCTTCTAATAAATACCAATTTATATTCTTTCTATTGAGCCAAAAAGTCTTATGTAATACACAACAATATTTTAGTGTTTCAAGAATCTATGATTTCCTTAATTTGGAAACTCCTTCTGCCACCACAAATCAGAGCCCCTCTGTAACTCAGGAGATAGTCTTTCAGAGTTGTTTTAGCCAAAAAGTTCATTGCCTTGTGGACAACCTGGTGAGGTGCCTCTCCAAACTTAGTTTGGCCGGGCCTTGGTCAACAGACATGCTCCATCACTAGGCTCTTACTCAAAGCTGTGCTTTGTTGGGTACCTCCATGCCATCCCATGCCATATAATCAGAATAGGCATGTTATAGCAAGGCAACTAAAATCTCAAGCCTGGGCAAGTGGAAAGAAGTCAGTTGATCTGAGATTCCCCCAACTTTTCAGACAATAGTACCTATAATTAAAGATGATTCTACTTACCTTTATATGTTACTTTCCCATTTACAAAGTTTTCCTCACAACAACACTGCAAGATGGCTGGTGCTAATATGATTGTTAGAAGCAGTTATGTGGTGCAATGGATAGAGTGCTGGGCTTGAAGTTGGGAAGACATTGAGTTCAAATCCAGCCTCAGACAATTACTAGCTGTGTGAACCTGGGCAAGTTACTTAAACTTTGTCTGCCTCAGTTTCATCAACTCTAAGATGGGAATAATTGTGGACCTATCTCCCAGAGTTGTTGTGAAGATCAAATGAGGCAATATTTGTAAAACACTTTGCAAACTTTAAAGGACTATATAAATGCTAGCTAGTATAAATATTTTCATTTTACAGATGAGGAAACTGAGACCCAGAAAGATTGCTCAGGGTCACATATAATAAGACGTGAAAGAATTAAATCCAGGAGTCTGAGTGCAACTACCGAATGTGGAGATTGTTTGATAGGAACTTGGGCATAAGCATGGCTGATCAGCAGACACAAGAGAAGATTGCAGAATTCAAAGAAGCCTTTTCACTAGTTGACAAGGATGGAGATGGTACTGTAACAACAAAAAAACGGAATTGTAATGAGGTCACTTGGGCAAAACCCCACAGAAGCTGAATTACAGGATATGATTAATGAAGTAGATGATGATGGTAATGGCACAACTGACTTTCCAGCATTTCTGACTATGATGGTAAGAAAAATGAAAGACACAGGCAGTGAAGGAGAAATTAGAGAAGCACTCCGTGTGTTTGACAAGGTGCACAAACACCTTTCCTTCGAGTACCTTCAGCATGAGCATCAACACCTTTTTTATACTTTTAGGAACTTTTTTTTTTTTGCGAGGGGAAAAGTACGTGGCAAGAACAGAAGACAAACTGTCAAAACTTCTAAAGATGCTTCCTTGCATTTGCTTTATCATGATTTAAAGGTTCAACTAAATTTTTGTCTTAGGACGGCAATGGTTATATTAGTGCAGCAGAACTTCACCATGTGATAACAAACCTCGGAGAGAAGTTAACAGATGAAGAGGTTGATGAAATGATCAGGGAAGCAGATATTGATGGGGATAGTCAAGTAAACTATGAAGAGTTTATACAAATTATGACAGTGAAGTGAAGACATTGTATAGAATATGTTAAATTTCTTGTATAGAATTGTTTATTTGCTTTTCTTTGTAACTTATCTGTAAAAAGTTTTCCCCCTACTGTC